ACACACATACACACACATACACACACATACACACACATACACACACATACACACACATACACACACACATACACACACACATACACACAAACAAATACTCAAACACACACACACATTGATTCTTTTGTTTGTTCTTTTTAGCAAACTTCTATCCCTTCCGTGAACGTCAGTATCGCCTATGGGTCAACATTCTGATCATAGAATAAACATGCGAAGCTAACAGATAGGAGCTGGGCTTTGACCATGAATCTGGTTAAAAACCAGGATTCCCTGTCTCCGGATGAACAGGTCCTTAGTCGGAGACATTTATGTATACATTTTTTTTTATATATGCGTATGCACATTCTGGGCGTGCAAGGCAAAGAACGTAACCATTGCTCTTCATGCAATGAGCGCAGTGCATCCCACGTAAAATATATGGATAGCAGGATGGAAACTATTTAAAAACTAAAAGCCTAGTCTATCTGTTGCTTTTTAGATTTACAGTTAGGCACATATTTCAGGGCCTGTGTTTTAATATCCTCTAACATCTAACCTCCGCTGTAGGTGCCTGTCAAGAAATATTTTGTTCCCTTGTCCACAATATTGTTATAAATGGCGGATGAGCGTACCTACTCTCCTTGTAAACTTATCATTAAGCACAGAAACAAACCCCGCTGGAAGACAACAGCTGACATTCTTATATTATCGACATGCTATCAGATTTTAAAATACTTGCTCTTTTTGTTGCACAATGAAGACATGGGAGCGACTCCTGGGAGGGAAAGTGGTTAATCGAGTTTCATCGTTTTTCTGCTGGAACATTGCACCCCCCTTTCCTCCCCTGCCTGTCTGTCTGCTGGAATATTGTTATCCCCCCTCCTCCCTACTCCCCCCATTAATCTGTCTGTATTCTTCACTCCCCCACCTGTCTGTCTGCCGGAATATTGTATCCCCGCTCATTCGCAAGACTGTGGGCGGGAAAACAGTATCCCCACTGCGGGGGCTAGCTATGATTTGCAGGGTCGAAGCAGCTTGCCTCCTAAATGGTCTAAATTTGTGATACTGGGAGCGTAAAGGAATACGGTTACAATTTTGTGACAACGACAGAATGACAGAAATGGCTAATTTATAGGATAAGGTGTTTAGAGTTACATCTGGTTCAGCAGTGCAAAGCATGGCATTTTGTGTCTATGGTGTCATCTGAACGCTGGCAATAAATGACAAACGCATACACCCCCCGAAAAAAACCTTCCCTACCTAAATTGTTTCTGGGGTTGTTTTTTTTGTAAATTAAATTCTTTTACCTTAAGCTGTTTGTTTCTATTTAAAGATGTATAGTAATTTGTAACTCTTTAAGCGATAGCAATTCAGAGGTCCGTTTGAATTGGTAAATCAATCACCAGCCTCGAGAATGCTCATTTGTTTCAGCTTGTTAACTTTCTGTATTGCTTTTGCTTTTTTATCCTAAACATACTACGTAAACAAGCTATTACTTCTCCTCCCGGGATGATAAAATAGGACGAGTCATTCCCCCTTTTCATCGTCCTCGGAGCCTTATTTGAACTTATCATAGTCATTTACAGAGGAAATTGCAAAACAGAGATCAAGGAAATAGAAAATCGATGGTTGGGTCCACCATTTCAAAAATAAATTGTGAGGCAGCGTGGTGGAATCAGGCTCTCGTCAAAATAATCAAAGTGAACAAACTTGCATTTTTCCACAGGTTCGTTAATTTTTATCAAATTTTTGTTTTTTGGATCAACCCCTTTCATGCCCATTAAAAAACTCATTTCTGTGTGGATTTTTCTGAAAAATGTTGATTAAAGGCACAAACAATGTAAATTTTCAGATAAGGTAATAACTAATCTTTGACTGTCATTTTCTCACTAATTTTACCTCTGAAAACAGGTGACACCCACCTCCTTCATTCACAAATATCTCGACTTGTATTCAAGATAAATGGATATTTTTTCATCCAAATAAAGACAATTGAACAAGCTTTAAGTTGATACCAATAACTCTACATGCCCAAAAATGGACGAGAGCCTGATTCCACCACGCTGCCTCACAATTTTAAAAAGAAAGAAAAGGTACAGGTGACAAAATGATAGAAGACTGAGGTTACCTTGAAAGTGTTCACCACGGAAGATTTTAACCTTATGATTTTCTTTTAAACTCCAGGTTCGCAGCAGGTATCAACTTTGCAGTAGTAGAAGACCTACGGGTGCGACGTGCAACTGTGGCGCTGCTGTCAGATCTGGTGATGACGTCATCGTGTTCGAGTAAGAAAATTACTCCGTACTGTCACTCACACTCCCTTTCATCAAAGTTGTCGGTCCCTATTATTATCTCTCTTAAGAAATGCCACTGTAACATATTATTGTGTAGTGCAAACCTTTATTGTTACAAAAAATGAGAGCATTAAATCTCTCTTTCTCTTTTTAAATTATCTCTCGCTCCCCCAACCCCCTCCCCCTC